GCGTAGGGAATACAACGTAGCCACGAAGAATCATACACAGCATGATAGTCCAGTCGCTTACAAAAAAAAAAGAAGAAAAAACAAGGATTATAGATCACACTCAGTTGCACAAAAACGCGAACTTCTCCCTTGAAAGACGCTCTCTTTCGTAGTCAAACGATTCTGTTACGATAATGAGACACCGCTTAAACGGTTTACTTATCAAATGTGTGTGTGTGTGTGTGTGTGTATGTGTGTGTGCGTGATGTATGATGAAATGAGGCTAACGCAAGAAATACAGGCTTTGCATGTATAATATCTAATTATGTATGTTTGTATATGCAAAGGGTTACGCGATTATATGACAAATTATATTATGCATGCATCAACAGGCTTTTTAAGAAACTTAGAGAGCAAGTCAATTTCTCTTTAATAATAATCATTCATCCTAGTCATCTTTTTTTTATTCCTTTTAAGATATCCCATTTTTAAAGATATCCCAATAACTGAGCCACAAATTACAACTCTATAAGAATCTTTTTTAAATTGAATAAATAATAAGATAACTGTTTTAAAAGCAGACTGATCTTCAATTATACACAACAATCTTATAAATATACAAATAAACGAAGAAAGCAAAAGCAAATTTTGGTGCTTAAATAATATCTTTGTGTGAACCTTACCTAGTTTCCAGTGCAAGCTTATAGTTTGTCGCGAAGCACTCTGTACATATATAGCACGCACGTATGTCGTATTAGCATGTATACATGATTATTTTTTTCACTTTGCTTAATGCATACATGGTATAAAGAGTGATTCAAAACTCGCGTTTTACGCATATGTAGTAATAACTGTTGCGTGTATTATGTCTATCTATGAAAGGATATAAAATGTATATAGTGTCGATATCGTGCTCTATTCAAACAAATGAATAGAATGTCCACATGTCCAAGTCGTTTTACGCAAGATAGAATTTGAGGGGAATAATTCTAAGAATTTACATCACGCCATCGAGAAAGCGCGAGGAATTAATTTCTTCGTCTACAAGAAGTCACCGAGGAAGACTATTCCTTTGAAAGAAAGGACGGCGGAGACGCGCGCGATCGCATTGGATTTATTAAATATTTCTCTCGTAAAAGAACAACGTTGGGAGTGAGTTTATTTGAGTGTAGGATGTGCGAATCGAAGCGCAAGTCGATTGGAAATGATTGAAAACGTCTAAACAAGGCACAAGTCAAGACTGTTATCCGAAAGGTGGATGGTCCGTGAAAGTCGTGTATGCGAAAGGGAAGTCCTTTAATTCATTCTTCGCGTTCACACTCACGTTTAGTACTCTCCTCGCATTCATAGAACGAATCGCTTCTACAATCAAAGGATAGACGGGAGCGATTTCAATCGCGTTCTGAATCATCATTATCGTGTCACCCTCGTCGTATCGTAGCGCAAGCAACGATCGCAATTGTATATGTATATATGTAGCATATGCATATTTATTAATTTAACCCGCGTGTCGTAATATTTTGAAAATCACTATAGCATCGAACGCGTATGCGCTTCGTATTTCGCGATAGCGATAGTACAAGTGATAACGGTGTAGCGATGATTTCAATGGCGACAGCAGTGAACAATGGCAATAATAAGTTTATAATTCAAATGAATAATAATCGCGTCGTAATCATAATGATGCAGTAATATCAGATAACCAACACTGTAATGTATATGTATACACGTGTGTATACAGGGTATCCCGGAATTGTGGCAGCTTCTTTCATCCGGGAATTCTTTGATATCAATTTAGAATCGAGTTTTCTTTAACAGAAATAAAATCGATACCTTTGAATACTATAAGCGAACATCAAAGAAAATTTTGTGATTAAATCTTATTCGAAAATTAAATTGTGGGAAATCAATGATACTTGTAAATGTATACATTTAAGGAAAAATCGGTGAAGGAATCCATAGATGAAAGGAGTGACGATAGTTCTGAGACATCCTGTATATATCGTAGTGTTCCTTTTTTATATATATGTATATTTATATGTATTTATATATTTATAATTATAATATGTATTATTTATAATTGTGTTTGTATATTATATTATATATTTCATTATTATTTAACACATTCTTTTGTACAAGTAAATTAATTAAGAATAAGTACAACTTGGTAGCAAAGAGAGATAGAATTATCATTCACTGTATATTTTATATCGTAGTGAGAAGAAAGAGATATATATCTTATTTCATTTATTATATAATATTCTTTTATTACTTTTATTATGTTTCAGACCGTAACACGTTGACGATGCCGCCATTCGGCTTCCGGAGATGCTCTTTGTTTTGAATCTCTCATCTATACTTCTCCTCCTTCCCGGTTCCCGATATGATTAGGCTTGCGATCCCCCGCGCTGCTCGCCGACGCTAATTCAGCTCGCGAAGCTCGCTAAAGCGCGACGTCTCGATTTCTAGAGAAGAGGTAGAAAAAACAGCGAAAACGACGACAAAATCCCGCGATACGACCGCGAGCGATTATTACTATAAATATTACAGACGAGAGACGAGAGTAGCCGTCCTCGATTCCGATTATCTTCGGGACGTCACGGGCGACAAAGCGTATTGAGCGCGTGACAGCGCGGACGATCGAAGCGGAAGCGTCTCAACGATCGCGTTCGTTTCTCACACGAGAAACGTTCATAATTCTCTAACGATTATAACTCCCCCTTAGAATCCACCCCTCGAAATAAGTAACTCGCAAAAATGTAATATATCATTTTCATCACGAAATCATTTACGGCACGTCGTCATTTCGCGATTACGGTTCTCGAGTTTTACCTTATGCTTGGCCGTTCTGTACCGTTGTCGCAAAATTGACGGTAAGGATTCACTTCCGGTGCCAGGTACAAGCAGAGTTATATTTTCAGGCAGGAGCACGAGCACGTTTGAGATAATATTAACGCTCTTGCACGCAAGGTGCTGCTTTCTTTTAAAAGAATGCATGATCGTCTTCTCTTTCTTTAACTCTTACTAGCTTGCGCGTTTCTTCAGCACCATTATGATCCACTATTGGATTTTAATTTCGAATCTATTGGCGGAGCTCACGCACGGATAGCACATTACGATCGCCTCACCGGGCGTGTCTGCAATCATTTCAATTTGTACGGCTCTTTCTAGCGAACTTGTGCGACTAGTTGCGGCAAGATATGCATAACATGTCTAAACGAACGTGTCATAACTCACTGATAACATATGTATGTATGTATTTTGAAGTCCTCGTTCGTGCGGGATTAAATCTTTTCTTAATGTTTCGTCAAGAAAAGTACTGTTATTCAAAATTACCTCGTTCTCGACATATGTAGTCCTAGAATTCACTCTACGATATCACAAAATATATGACAAAACGGAAGTTCATGGAGATCACATATAAGAAGATACATTCCAGCCTGATGTTACGCTGCGTAATACGAGCGAGATTCTTGCGTGATAAACCGATAGCTCAGTTTTAATGAAAAACGCGATAGTTATTATTGAGACCAGCTGGACTTGACAATCGTTATACAAGGGGCAAGATTTACCTCAATAACTTAAGACATAACGAATATCTTGTGTATAAGATCATGGCCGTGTATAATTCTGTGAAACGGAGATACAACGGAAAACGAGATATTTTCTTTAATATCGCATGAACGAGATTGTTGAATGAATCCTTGGAGCAGAACGGCCAAGATAAATTATGTAATGACTGTATTTGGAAAAGATGCACGCGCTCGACATGTATTTCTTTCGCGCGTTAATTATTTCGTGTGATCGTGACGGACGTGTGCACGCGCGGCAGCGAAAAACACGGTAATCGGATTACATAATGAATAATTAATAATAATGATAATAATAATTAATAATAATATATAATATATAATATTTATGTATATTAAATAAATTTTTCGGTATTATGTATATATATATATATTTACGACTTAACCCTAAGCTTAGCTCGACTTAAGGTTTAAGTAACCTCACCCCGTGGCGCGGGGGATGCCCTTACGCGCGTCACCCAGGGCGGACACATCTTAAGAACCTAGTAAAATCCTAAAACCGGAAGCTCCGCCGTGACGACAGGCCAGCTGCCTTCTTTGTTTCTTTGGCGGAGACCGCTCGTCCGTTCTCTCTTTCTCTTTCTCTCTCTCTCATTCTCTCTTTCACACTGTCTATGCGATTCCTCTCATTAATATAGATATAACCGCGCGCGAGCCGTTCGTTCCGTTTCTCATCGCTTTTCCACACCGGAGAAAGAAATGACACGAGAGAAATGGTACCTGATGAAGACAAGGGAAGTCGTTCTCCCTCATACATGAACATCTTGACGTGTGTAAACGAATCTACCTATAAGATATATCGTTACCGTTCCGCTCGTCGTTGATACGTACGTATATACGCGCGTGCGTATGTACATTGGGTCGATTAATTTGCGAGAAATACGCGGATAGTGTAAGTGTACAGATTCGTAGATGCTGGGAAGAGAAAAGCGAGGAATTGCGAAAAATGGAGAATGAGCGAAGATAAGGAGATAGATGTACGGGAAAGAGAGAGAAAGAGAGAGGGGGGGGGTAGGGGGGAGGACAGAGACAAAGAGACAGAAAGAACAAGAGCAAGGAATAATTGCGCGAGCGGCGAGAGAACGGAGAACATCGCACGCGCATGGTTCATCGCAGAAGGGAGGCTAACATTCTCATTCTCCATTCGCGAGTGTAGTGTACGCTAAAAAGAGATACGGAGGCAAATCCTCGGAGAAGAGGAGGTCTGCTACGAAACGCCTGGCTGGGCATTTCTCGATGTTCATGCAGCCTCCTTTCCTTGACTGCTTGTTTTCTTCCGCTATGCACACCGGAACCGATGACGATGCTCGTTGAAAATCGCATCGATGAAAAATCGCTTTCGCTTCGCAACCGTCTGTCCGTCCGTTCCTGATTTTCCTTTTGCGACGGCGATGGTTTCTCCTGACACCTTGATGAACATGGGGGGGGGGGGGGGGAGACGAGCAATGATTTGCAAATGTTCGGTGGTGGCGGCGATAGCGCCGGGGTCTTAGGACCCATCCATCCATCCGCCATCTGAAAAACGTTTACTTTATGTTAATGCGGTAACATGAGAATAAATGAGATATATAACATACACTCGTCTTTAATCTTTTCTCAGTGGAAGTATCAGATAAAAGATGTTCCGAATAAAATGTGTTGATGTTTTCCAAAAGATAATATTTAAAAAATAAAACAGTTTATAATCTTTTTAATATATTGAATATAATATTGAAGACAATATTAAGAATATATTACGTATTTTTTAAGTGAAAAAAATATAAACTTTCTTATACGTACAGTATTTAAAAATAATATAAAAAGTTTTGTGGCGATTTTGAATTTGAATTAAATATTATTTCAATAAGAATTAGATGTTTTTAAAAAATAGTTAAGCTATAACATGCAAAAATTTTCATTTAAAATATAAAATTTACATATGAAATAGTATAATAAGAATCAACATTAAATGTTGATTCTTATTATACTATTTCATATGTATATATAAAAAATAAATAAAGTATTTTCTAATTTCAATCACTTTTTGCACACAGTATACACCTGATATATTTTAAAGCGCGTGATTTTGTCACATTATAAAAAAAGCACCAGATTATCGTAAATATAAATGAAAAAAAAATCGTATAATTTCACAGTGCATAGGAGAAAGATAAAAATTAAAACAAGATAAAAATCTCTTAATGTAATTAACTCCCCGGCAAGTAATTATTCAACTCGAGTAAGAGCGTCGAAGTCAGTTCAGACAGCGTGCTAAATATCATGTAATCCTGCAAAATTTACTGACTAAGTTAGGCAGAGGGTAGCACGAGTGGCTTCAGGCCCAGGGTGGTCGACTCATGATTTGTGGATCTGGGTTTGATTCCACCAGTACCTCACATAAGCATTTTTCGCGTTTGGAGATCATCATTCCATCTAATGTCTTAAAATTATTAAAACTATAATGAGACTTAATAAATAAAAAATAATACGAATTAAATAGGCTACGAGTCTATATAATATAAACAAATGTAAATTACGAAATTTACAAATCGACCCTTATCCGGTATTATCAGTGTAAACAACATATAAAATGTACGGTTACATATAACAACTAGATTCTTTTGTATAGTTAAATATAAAATGTTAGATGGGGAATCTTATATTATAAATTTACATTTTTTATCCGCACGCATTTTTATACAAAAAAGGTTCCTCTTACTATCATGAATTTATTAAACTATATGTCATTTCTGGTACTATCTTCTCATATCCATTTTCAAAAGTGGATAGACGGTAATAAGAAAGCTTTTTTTTTAAAAAAATAAGAGGTACCCTCAAAATGATAGAATTAAAGGTAATCTCTCTTCTCATCCCAATGACAAGATAGTTATCCTGATATGGATAACTATCTATATAAGTGATGAGAAGGGAGATTTTCAATCTTTAATTCTATCATCATGAATATTTTGAGGGTACCTCTTGTTCTTTTTTTTTTTTTTTTAAAAAAAGCTTTTTTATTACCGTCTATTCACTTTTGAAAATGGATACGAGAAGATAGTACCAGAAGTGACATGTAGTTTAATAAATTCACATGATAACAAAAGAAACCTTTTTTTGAATAAAAGCACATATACGTGCGCAAAAAAAATATAAATTTTATAATAAAAGATTCTATGTAACATTTTATATTTATAACTGTACAAAAGAATCTAGTTTTTATATGTAACCGTATATTTTAAATATTGTTTACACTGATGATGACCCGATAAGGGTCGAAACGTTTGTAATTTTTGTAATTTACATTTTTTTATATTATATAGTATCTCACATCCTAGTTTAGACTCGTAGCCTATTTTCTATTATCATCTAATATCTATTCAACGAGGAGAATAAATACTTGCTACGCATGGCTACTATGATCTTTAAATGGGCGGAAAAGCCAAACAAGGGAATTAAAGAAAGAAAAAAAATGTCAGGCAGAGAGAAAAGCAAGGTTTTTCCTCTATCTTTTAATGTTTAGAATCTGCGGACGCGCGCGTACCTTGAGTGGACGAGTGTGGGGCTCACGACTGCGGTTGCGGCATGTTGTGGTCCCGCTTGTCTCCCGCAGGAGGCGGCGGCTTTGTCACGGATTTTTCCTCGTTCACCGGCGTAGGCGGTGCATCTTTCCTCGGTGGCATTCTTTCATTTATAGCATCCAAGCCCTTGGCCTCGGCGAACGAGGTAATTTTGTGATTCGGCGAGAAGCCTTGAAGTGCTGCATGGAATAGCAGAGAAAAAGAACATTAGAACGCGCAAAATTGTAAGAGAACCACTTCAGCAAGGATTCAATTTTCTCCTTCGTGATTATTTAATATAATTAGATTATTACTAGTTCAACTTTTTTTTATTCATGACACATTAAATAATGAGTCAAATTTGTTTGGGTATATCATTAAGTGCAAAGCATGTTTCAATGCTCAACATATACTTTTTATTAGACACTGCTAATAGGACACTCAGAAATATAAAAAGTAAAATTCTAAAAATTTATTTTTTTTTATCACATTTTCTTGCAATGATAATATCGTGTTGGTTAAAATGAGAGTAAATAACAGGTATACATCATTTTTACAAAATTGAAAACATTTCTTACTTGGCACCTCACTCGCCTTATTTTTACTCATTTCTCAATCCTTCCTTCTTACCTTCTCTAAAATTTTAGCGATACACTGCTTACAAAACCCTGAATTATATTGTGAAACGCTTATTATCCATAAGTAATATAATTGAGATATCGGGTACTTTTTTACCTTCGTGTTGCATCTCACAATAGAATAATTAAATATACGTACAGTTTACTGCATTTTTAAATTCTAATTTGAATTACAATGATTCTCAGCGCTAATGTCAAGACGTTGTTTTATAAAATTTTTACCGTTTTTCAGAGAGGTTTTGCCACCAGATAATGCACCGAGCGGTAAAGCTCCAGTCGGCGTCAAGCCCTTCAACTGCAGAACGCTCTCGCTCTCCTCTCTGTGAAGAGATTAAAATTACATTATAATAACAATGAAATAATTAAAAATCATTAAGTAGTCGTAAAAATTGTAGAGCAGCTTTTTATATAATGCGTAACCTTTTTATTTCAAATTTTAATTCGCAAAAGTTTGCCCTTATGAGTTTCGAATTAACTTTTTACATGTCTATTATTTTTATATTGAAATATTTTTGGGCACATTATGACGTATTTAAAGTCTTGAAAGATTGTTTTATCGTTTACTGACCTCAGGACAGAAAATACCCGTGCCATTTTGCCAATGGCTCTGATCTTGTTTCTGATTACTTCCTTACGTAGATTGGCTGCTGCACCTACAAATATCAGAGACATCATATTATGGCATTTATAGGATAATGGGATATCAGCACCTAGATCATCCAGTGACGATCAACATAGCGAAAAGAATCGGCGAACAGTTCGAGTTCCACAATTTATAAATGTTTTCTTGAGTATGGTCAATATTGATCTCTAATTAAAAAAAAAATTAAAAGCAAACATAAGATAATTACGGTGGTCTTTGGAAATTTTCAATTTACACCGTGTAAATTTTCAATATATACGCCTATGTTCAAAAGTATTCTTCAACTATCGTGATCGATAGTGCTGTTGTAACAATATAAAAGCTGGTCCATTAATTTACAACACATTTTAATCAAGAGACTCAATAGCTTCGCCACGTCGCTTCGTCACCGATTTGCCGCGCGTTTGTCGTCGCGCTTGCAAATCATTTGCGATGATTCTCGTCATCGCGCGTTAACTACTACGTTATTCATACCACAGAGCTTACCGGAGGATACATTATATTAATAATCACTCGTTATTCTCATCGGGTCACGCCAAGACAACAACGCCAAACTACAGGCAGAAAAGTTTGCGCACATATCACGAGCGAGGGAGAGGACGTAAAAACAGCCACGTAACAAAAAAAAAAATCGCAAGTGCTTCGTCGCGTTCGCAAGATAAAAAGTGAATTACGCACTTTTCGCCAATGGAAGAAGGGTGTTTATTTGTCAGTTTAAAGAAAAAAAACGAGAGAAAAGGCGAACAGTATAGATTGCGAACGCGCACTAGAAGCTGCGTAAACGTGCATAAATACAGAGTACAATTTTTCGTAAAAATATTTTGTGTGTGTGTGTGTGTGTGTGTGTGTATGCTAGACATATATCAAGTGTAAATCGTTGCGAGAGAAAAAGAGGCATGCACATGCTGTACAAGCGCGAAACGTACGCACCGTCGGCCACTACAAACTCTTATCGTTACCATTTCCCCTGGTAATCGCCTGCTACCTTTCGGGGCTCGTCTCAAGCGCGAAACAGTCGCCGCTTTCGTGATGATTCAATTTACAATCGAATCAACGCGGATTAAGTAGTTCGGCTTCAAGCTGATTCAGTCATGTTCGTACTCAACAAAAAAGCTGGGACCAATTAGAGGTCCTCAAATAAGAGATTGGCTACATTGTATGTAGATATCAAAGAATTAATGGCAACCTAGTCTTTTGAGTTAAATAACATTTTGTCATTTTTTTTAACTTCCATAAGTGTCACAATGTAAAACAGTCCATTTCTGTAGTTAGCTTCAAAGTAAATAACATTCATAGTAAATAACATATGCACTTAGTAAATAATAAACAAAATTTGAATCAAATTTAATCATTTTTCGAGTTGAATTGCTTAACTCTATTGTTCCAGTTAAATTAACGATATTGAGTAGGCGACCTATAGAAATGATTAAAATTAACTCAAATTGGGTATAATTTGACATTATGAATTTGACAGTGTACCGCGTTCGCCATGTTCAGAAGATGCTTAAGATAGAATGAGATAGATTACGCATAAGATAGAATGAGATATCCACGCATCTCATTCTATCTTAAGCACTGTTCTGAATATGGTGGACCAATCAAAAGTTGTTTAAACGGTAACCGATCTCCTACTTGAGTACTTCCAGGATCAACTAGATACCCTCTAATCAGAGTTTGAACACGAGCCGTGTTTTGTACACAGGATCTGTAAGTTTAGCAAAATCACATAAGAGAGAGAAGGATATATATTTACTACTGCTTTCTTTTTTTGCTCTATCTTTTTCTTAGGAATTGTTAAAATATAATGAACCTGGCTGTTTCGTGTTTTGATTCTGATTAGAAGATCTTTAAGATTAATGAAGTAGAAGTGCCACGTGCCGGCAGAATTTCATAGTTTATGAAATGTCCGAGGGAAAAAAAAAGATGTTCACTGAGCGGCCACTCTTTCGCGCCAAGCCGTCAATTTATCTGTTTGCTCGTTAATTGACGCAATGGTCGAGCCTTGTCGCTCGATCGATTGTACCTTAACGAGGAACGGGGGTGAATGCGTTCTGTAGCATCGCTAAAATCTTCCGTTAGCGAGAAATCAGAGAGGATAGAGATTTCCTCTTTTTCCTCTACTTTTTTTCTATCAGGGCGCTAAATATCACATCTATTGTTTGTTTTATTTTTGCGTTGGGAAGACTCGATTGGGAGTTTCTACGGTTGATTAGCACTCATTTTAGGAAAACAATACAGCGTCTTTAACGAAAGCGGATCTACATTATGTTTACCCTAATCACGCGATCCAATTCGCATCGTTCACCTAAAAGTTTTTATCCGACGGAGGGAAAAAAAAATTCACTTCTCCGTGTTTTGCTATCCCCGACTAAATCAGACGGATCAAAAAAGATACGTGTCGAAACATACTCGAACTTCGTACCGCACATGCCATTTCGCAGTATTCTAATGATTTACGGCACGGATTCGCGGTCCTTAAGCCGCTGTCACGATAACGTATCATCCGATTTGTCAGCCCGTAGGGAAATACGAAATTTCAATCTTCCCTGTCATCCGCGAGAACTGACCGTGTGACGGGCGTTTTGTTTTCGGAGATGGTGAGCCATCTGAAACGTACGATCGAACGAGGATCAACGAAGATCGACTAGGCTGATACGCTCCAGGTTCGATTCATGCTTATATAACACATAATACTTCTTACATACAGAATGTAGCAATGCTTGCTGTATGACAAAAGTTAACAGTATAGCCACGGAAAGAACGATTTTGCTGAAGTATCTAGAATTTTAATTATATACATCCGAAAATAATTTTGTAGGACCATTAAAATACTTACGTTATATATATTTAGGAATTTCAAGCATGATGAATAATGTTGCTAGAAGTTTTAACATTCTAATTTTCATAATTAACAAAGTTATTTATACGTGACAAAAATAATTTTGATGAAGCATCTAAAAATTTAGCTTGTATAATACAAATCTGAAAATTTTGTTGGACCAAAATAATTATGCTGGAATTTCTGTGTACGAATTTCGAAGAGTAAGTATAATTGCTGCAAGAAGTTTTAACACTAGTAATCAGTTTGAGTGTCTTACATATAATTATTTTAATAATTCAACAATTACTTTTAGATCTGTAGTAGCTAAATTTTGAGATACTTGAGCAAAATTATCTTTTCTGTGCAATTATTTTTTTATTTTTTATGGAAAACATAAACTGATTGGTTATCGCGCCAATTTCCGCTGCGTAGCAAGCGTTGTTACATTCTATGTGTATAGGAGTCATAAAAATCATTTCATCTTTATTGTTGTTTATCGAATGTTAAACAAGAATAAATGATGCTCGCAAGCGTGGTGAGCATGGCATGAATCGGACTGCAGCCCCAAGACTCGGAGGATTAGCGGAGCGCGCGCGCTTGTCAGTGATAGATTAATCAACGGGATTCCTTAAATAACCGCTGAGCCGTTTCGAATATCAACGATATTACACGCGTCGCGGGTCAATTAAATGACACTTTCTATAATTAACAGGCGAGATCGCTGCTGCTGAAAACCGCGAGCCTCTCAGCTTATCGCGGTGAGTTATTCGACGAGCGTCCGATATGATATTACGCACAGGTGCATTCCGTTGTATTTCAATCTCGCGTAATCCAAAATCTCGCGGTTACCGGAGTTTCCACTTGGATATGAGATTTTACCCCTATCGGCGGAAACGAGATGTCGTCGTCGTGCGAACTCGCGTTGGCAGCGGGTATCGGGTTTTAACCGCAATTTTCGCGTAACGAGATTATTCTGCCGGCTCGCAGTTTATTATCCGTGCGTTTACCCGGGTAGGATTCGCGGATCCGAGAACGGGATTCTCTCGCGGGAAATCCCGCGATCAGCGAAAGACGACACGAGCTGGAGAACGTGAAGATGTCGAGGGCACCCCGTTTTCCGTCGCGGAAGGCGGAGAGAGATAGAGACAGAGAGAGATCGATAGAGTCGAGGTACGTCAAATATTAGACGTTCGGCCTTCGAGCGAAGAGCGCAATTTTGCAGCTCGCTCCGTGAATCCCACGTTATAACTTCCCCCGCAGTGGTTATTTGAAATTTGGAAAATTACACCCGCGACATTTGGGGATTCGCGTGACTCCCGACGACTTCCCGCAAATCGAGCGGGAAGGAGCGGAAAAAACGAAATCACTTATTACGTCTTGTGATCGAGGGGGTAACCACTATCTGAAATATTGCCCCACAGATTACACGATCTCATTTGATTTCATACGATTTTATTTGTTGACGAATAATTTTCTTCACGCGGTCATTTGGTAAAATAACCGATCTTATCTAATATTACACAATTATTTCTTGTAGTTGCATATGTAATTGTCGGATATACATCGGCATTTCATATAAATTTTATAATAATTTCAGGGACTCCGTCTCACGATTACATCAAGTGATTACCCCCTCGTTTGAGGGATAGCCTCGCTCTTCGATCGAGCCGAGCCGTCCGACAACAGCCCCAGAACAGCTTCCTGCGCTCACAAATGGAGAGGATGCGGCACATACAACGACGTATATACGTCAACTACAAACTTATACAACAGATCAAGCTTTTTGCTCTCTATACATTTATGTGTTCAGCGCACGGTTACGCACACGTAATCTGTCGCAATGGCGTCACCGTTCAGTGCTCGAAATAGCGTAATTCGAGAATTGTATGTCGTGAATGACGCAACATGCATATCCCGTGAGTGTTTTAGCATAGTGATAATTCGGGAACAAATTTTCACGAGAGCGAGATATCCTACATTTTGATAAAATTAAACATAGATTATCGTGTAACCTTCGATATTGTATAGAGTAATGATGATATTTCAGCGAGTGAGTTTACGTAAATTTTGACGCGAAAGGCTCTAATTACGCATATCGTATATCATATAATGTAGCCTATCTCGAATTACTCGAATAGAAACCTATCGACAAATTATTTGAAAGTCTTCATGAGGTCTTGTGACAATGC